CATAACTAAAAATATCCAGTTCCTGGTCAGATGATCTTTAAACTCCGGGCAATCCAATTTTGGAATTCTTCTATCCTCGATATAGCAGGAGTACTTAACCCACTCAATTGTCATGTTGTGTAAGCACAACAGGAGATGTAAGTGACCTAGGCTTTTTTCAGGGTAACTTCCCTAAGTGGAATATTGGAGATTGTTCCAAGCATTATACAATATTAATTGAAATGTTGAAATGGACATCAAGAAGATACTAGTGTATAAAAAGCCATTTCAGTACTGTATTGATGCTTGATCATTTTGAAAAATCATGAATCCATCTCTCTTCTTTCATCCTTTACTTCATATACTGATGGGTTCAAGCCCTTGTGCTTCAGCTAGAATGTGATTTTTGGCTTGGACTGTTATACAAATTCAACTCTTGTCCAATCCAGGCTATTGTGTCTGGACAAATCATTGCTTAGTCCAATATGTGACGAGGCCACTCAGAGGTGGTTCAATCTTTACAGAAGTTTTCTTTTTATCTGAATATTTTCACAAACTTTGACAAGACTTTTCTTTCGTTTTAATGCAAACGAGGATTGTGCTGTAAATGTCTCCTGCCTTTCCCCTTACCCCCATAATGTTTTCTCAATAAGGTCATCTCTTCCCAGTTTGCATTATCGAAGTTTCCCACGCTTCAGTAATATCTCAAGACCTTTTGAAGGAACTCTTCCCATGGGGTTTTTCTAGGTCAGGAAGTGAGGGCAGCCAGGGAAGGTGCAGAGTGATGGAGAAATGTGGAACAGAAAAACAGCCACCCAAAATAGTGAAATGATCATCAACTCATGAAAAAATAAACCACCAAAAGAAATTCTAAAAAATTCAAAACACGCTAAGCATTGGCTGATGCAATCCTGGCAATAAAACTCCAGGATGGTCTTCTTGTGCCAAATTTGGTTTTCCCCAGTTTATTCTTTTAAAAATTATAACCTGTTAGCATTCTTGAAGTATTTTCAGTGATAGAAACCTTGGCTAAAGTAATAAGTAGAAGCTTGGAAAATGAAAACCTTCTATTTTATTAAAACATTTAAAGAGAAAGAGAAAAATGAGTACAAACTAATATCAAGTAAGAGGGGGCGGGAGAAATAGAAAAGTAAGTTTAAACTGCAGTGGAGGGGAGAAAGAGATACTAAGAAGTGACTTGCAATATTCTTCACAGCATTTCTATATGTACCATTATATCTTAAAGGACTTTCAGGTCTTGCTGTGAAAAGGAAAGGGTTTCTCAATTTACCAAAATTAATAATAATCATGGATTTCTCCCATTTTTCTTTCCAAATTGGAAAAGAAAATGATTTGCACCTGGAAGGAATGTGTACAATTTAGAAAAGACAGTAGTTTTAATTCAGGAGAATGCTTGAGTGCATGGGATTATTTTGCACTATAGGGCTTTAATGCAAACATTAAAAATAACCTTTTCGCTTCAGCACCAGAAAAAATAAAATTACCCAAATCAGAATCATTTTCTCAACTTTTTGAATCCTCTGGTTTTGAAAAGGAATGGAAATCTATGTTTGTCACTCTTTGAATGTCATGTAATATCAGAACATTAACCAGCATTTCATTAGCTGTGTGTCCTATTTTGTAGCAGGTAATTGGCTGAAAAAGCTGTTTAACCCAACTGCGATTTAGAGATACAGAATTGTAAAAACAGACTGCAGAGGGATTTGGAATTACCTATTAGCTACTTAGTCAAATAAATCAATAAGCAAAAAGTATCGGAAATATTTAATATTTTCTCCTTGTTTGTGATTTATGGCATTTGGCATAACAAGAAATGTATGTACCGGTAGTACTTGACTTATAATAGTTTGTTTAGTGACTATCTGAAGCTACAATGCCACTGAAAAAACCTGACTTATGACTGTTTTTCACATACACAACCGTTGCATCATCTCTATGGTTATATGATCAAAATTCAGATGCATGGCAACTGACTTGTACTTTTGACAGTTGCAGTCAAAAGGATCATGCAATCACATTGGGTGACCTTCTGACAAGCAAAGTCCAAGGGGAAGCCTGATTCACTCAACAACAGTGTTACTAACTTAACAACTGCAATGAACAGTTGTGGCCAGAAATGTCGTGAAATGATTTTAACAATTCACTTAACAAATCTCTCAGCAACAGAAATTTTGGGTTAAATTGTGGCCATAAGTCGGTGACTATCTGTACTACATTCATGCTCTAAATAGGAGCTATGGTTTCCCCCGTGGCACAACAAAACCGCGCTCGACTAAAGCGCGCCCGATTAAACCGCATCGCTGACGTCATCAGCAGGGCGACAACAGCGAGCGCGGAGAAAGAAGGGCGCTTTAAATAGCGCTTTGAAAGCAAGTCATATCAAGTTAAGGTAAGGGTTAAGTTTAGGGTTAGGTTTAGGGTTAGGGTTAGGTTTAGGGTTAGGATTAGGTTTAGCGTTA